GGAGAGAGGTTGTGCTGGTCCTGGGGACAGAATGTGCTGGTCCTGGGGACAGAGGATGTGCTGGTCCTGGGGACAGAGGATGTGCTGGTCCTGGGAAGAGAGGATGTGCTGGTCCTGGGGAGAGAGGTTGCTCTGGTCCTGGGACAGAATGTGCTGCTCCTGAGGACAGAGGATATGCTGATCCTGGGAACAGAGGATGTGCTGGTCCTGGAAACAGAGGATGTGCTGGTCCTGGGGACAGAGGATGTGCTGGTCCTGGGGACAGAGGATGTGCTGGTCTCGGGAACAGAGGATGTGCCTGTCCCGGGGAGAGAGGTTGTGCTGGTCCTGGGAACAGAATGTGCTGGTCCTGGAGACAGAGGATGTGCTGGTCCTGGGAAGAGAGGATGTGCTGGTCCCAGGGAAAGAGGGTGTGCTGAGGAAGAATGACCAGCAGCTTGCATGTGGGGATCCTCTTTCAAATGGCTGATGTTAGGGACAGAGTGTCTGCTGGACTTGGGGACAGAGGGCTTACCTCTTCTGGGGATAGAGGATGTGCTGGACCTCTAGGACATACACTGTCTCTACAGTCATAGTCCTAAACTTTGCTTATCTCATGCTTGGATATCTCATAGTGGTTGGAGATGGAATCAGCTTCTAGAGTCTTACCCCTGATTTCACCTTAGATTTCCAGTTTTTGCTGCCTTTTTTGAACTTGATGATCTGTCATTACAGAGCTATCCTAGGGTCTGGAATTCCAAAGTGCCTAATAAAAGATAGCTGGATGATCTATTTGATGAGGAAATAGTGTTGGACATGGGAGTTTGATGCAAATTGTGTGTGTCCTGGGCCAAGTGTCTATTCCCCTGAACACCAATGTCTTCTTTTGCGAGTGTGGATCTCGGCCCCCCACTGTGAAGCTCTTGAGTGTTCGACTATAGAAAGCACCCAGCACATATTAGCCCTCCACCCATGGTGAGGTCTCCCTCTCAGTGCCCAGCTGTCTCCTTCAGCATTTCTGAAGTCTCCATTTCCCCTCTATTCTTTCCAAAATAAATGATTTTTCTCCTTAAGTACTGCCTTCTAGATAAACAAAACTCTTATTTAACTTGATTGTTTTCCTGTTTGTTTAATTACTACCATTAAAACATTAATGCTTTCTTGATTTTTTTTTCTCATGGCAAATGCGATATTTTAGCTCCACTTTGGGTTACTGTATTTGTCAAGTTTCTGCTGTTACAAGTATCAGAAGCCTGATTCAGAGTGGCTTAAAGAAAGAGGAACACACTGGCTTCTATAATTAAATATTCCAGGGGGTTGCTTTAGCCAAAGATGAGGCTGTATCTAGACAAACAAGTGAAAATGGGATCTGGTGCCTGCATCACCCTCACTCTTAAAAGAGCCTCTGCTCCCCAAAGATCCTTTGAAATAGCTTTCCCTCCCCACTAGAGATGCTGTGAGTCTTGGGACCTGGGCCCCAACTGTGAGCTTCTCACCAGCCACGCTGGACTCCAAGCCTGACACTGGGGTGGGGGCTCAGTATTCCCCAACCTCAAGGATTGAGAAGCCCGGTGCAGGAGGGAAGCCAGGTCTGGTCCTGCTCCTCCAGGCGGGGGGATGGCAGTAAGCATGGTGCTGATTATTCCTACTTTACAGGTAAACAAAGAGAAGGTGCCCACACTCCACTGGCAGCTAGCTGCTCCGTCTGAGATAGGTTTATCTGCCCTGCGTGATTTAGCTGGTTATATCTCACAGTCAGCTTCTAGAGCCCCTTTGGAATTGGGCTGCTTGCATTGATTTCTGGGTCTGCCCAGTGCTCTAGGGGGCCCTGGTGGCAGAGGGGAAGGGTCTGAGCGGGCAGGGAGTGCTGTGGAAGCCTGAGGGTGGCCCTTGCCAGGCGTGCTCAAGGAGGACTGTGAGGGTCTGGTGGCGGTCCCATCCCGGTTCTGCATCTCCTCTTGTCTGATATGTTGGCAATTCGCATAGTTCTTCCAGAGGCGTCGGCAGATTCGCTGAGGGGTTGAGCACTGAGTGAACTCAGACTTAGTCTGAGCCCAGCGACATCAGGCCACTTCCACTCTGATCCTGGGGATCTTCCTTTGTAAAATGCCTTGCGGAAACACCTCACCCAGGGCCCTGAGTGCAGGAGGCCTTTCGTATGTGTTGGCAGATGGAAAGGAGAAAGGATTTTTTTTCTATTTTATTTTTTATTTTTATTTATTTTATTTTTTTTAAGATTTATTTATTTGTACAGAACTGGGGTACAGGCCAGAGATGTGGAGGGTAAGAGGATTCACCAGAGACAGAGTGGGGAGCAGAACAGCCAGATCTATGAAGTACACTGCTGAGGGGAGCAGCGGGTGGGTCAGGAGAGGTCTGCTGTGCCATGTGGATCTCCTCCGGGGCAGGCGGGGATCAAACTCATGCAGAAGTGGCTTTAACTTCTTTGTGCTGTGCTT